AGGGATGCCCATTCTCATCACTGCTGTTTAACATAGTACTAGAAGTCCAGCCTCCACAATCAGACAAGAAGAAGAAATAAAAGGTATTCAGATTTTCAAAGAAGTCAAATTCTCTCTTTTGCAGATGACATGATAGTTCATGTGGAAAACCCAAAAGATTTCATACCAAAATTGCTAGAACTCATACAGGAATTCAGCAACATGGCAGGATATAAAATCAATGCACAGAAGTCAGTTGCATTTCTATACACTAACAAGAGAGAATTTAAGGAATTGACCCCATTTACCATTGTGCCAAAAACCGTAAGATACCTAGGAATAAACTTAACCAAAGAGGTAAAGGATCTGTATTCTAAAAACTACAGGACATTTATGAAGGAAATTGAGGAAGACACAAAGATATGGAAAAACATTCTATTCTCATGAACTGGAAGAATAAATACTGTTAAAATGTCTATGCTACCCAGAGCAAACTACACATTCAATGTAGTCCCTGTCAAAATACATTGACATTTTTCACAAAGCTGGAACAAACAATCCTAAAATTTGTATGGAACCAGAAAAGACCCCAAATAGCCAGAGGAATATTGCAAAAGAAAACTAAAGCTGATGGCTTCACAATTTCAGACTTCAAGCTCTATTACAAAGCTGTCATCATCAAGACAGTGTGGTACTGGCACAAAAACAGACACATGGATCAATGAACCAGAATAGAGAACCCAGAAATTGACCCTCAACTCTCTGGTCAACTAATCTTTGACAAAGCAGGAAAGAATATCCAATGAAAAAAGGACAGTCTCTTCAACAAATGGTGTTGGGAAAATTGGACAGCCACATGCAGAAGAATGAAACTGCACTATTTTCTTACACCACACACAAAAATATTAGACTCAAAATGGATGAAAGACCTCAGTGTGAGACAGGAATCCATCAAAATCCTAGAGGAGAATGTAGGCAGTAACCTCTTTGACATTGGCCACAGCAACTTCTTGCTTGACATGTCTTTAAAAGCAAGTGAAACAAAAACAAAAATGAACTGTTGGGACTTCGTCAAGATTAAAAATCTTCTGCACAGCAAAGGAAACAGGAAAACCAAAAGACAGCTACAGAATGGGAGAAGATATTTGCAAATGACATATCAGATAAAGGGCCAGTATCCAAGATCTATAAAGAACTTACCAAACTCAACACCCAAAAAACAATCCAGTCAAGAAATGGGCAGAAGATGTGAACAGACATTTCTCCAAAGAAGACATACAAATGGGCGACAGACACATGAAAAAATGCTCCACATCCCTGGGCATCAGGGAAATACAAATCAAAACCACAAGGAGATACCACTTCACACCAGTCAGAATGGCTAAAATTAACAACTCAGGAAACAACAGGTATTGGCGAGGATGCGGAGAAAGGGGAACCCTCCTATACTGTTGGTGGGAACGCAAGCTGATGTAGCCACTCTGGAAAAAGGTACAGAGGTTCCTTAAGTTAAAAATAGAGCTACCCTATGACCAGCAATTGCAGTACTCGGTATTTAACCCAAAGATCCAAACGTAGTGATCCAAAGGGGCACCTGCACCCCAGTGTTTATAGCAGCAATGTCCACAATAGCCAAACTACGGAAAGAGCCAAGATGTCCATCAGCAGATGAACGGATAAAGAAAACAGTATATACATATATATATATAATATTATATATAATATTATATATATATGATGGATTATTACTTAGCCATCAGAAAGGATGAATACTTACCATTTACATAGACCTGGAACTGGAGGGTATTATACTGAGCAGAAGACAAGAAAGACAATTAACATATGGTTTCACTCTTAAGTGGAATATAAGAAATAGTACAGAGGATCATGGGGGAAGGGAGGGAAAACTGAATGGGAATTCATCAGAGAGGGAGAAAAACCATGAGAGACTCTTAAGTATAGGAAACACATTGAGGGTTGCTGGAGTGGAGGTGAATGGGGGAATGGGGTAATTGGGTGATGGACATTAAGGAGGGCATGTGATGTGATGAGCACTGGATATGCAACTGATGAATTATTGAACACTACATCTGAAACTAATGTACATGTTGGCTAGTTGAACTTTTTTTTTTTTTTTTTAAAGATTTTATTTATTTATTTGACAGAGAGAGATCACAAGTAGAGAGAGAGGCAGGCAGAGAGAGAGAGAGAGAGAGAGAAGCAGGCTCCCTGCCGAGCAGAGAGCCCGATGCGGGACTCGATCCCAGGACCCTGAGATCATGACCTGAGCCGAAGGCAGCGGCTTAACCCACTGAGCCACCCAGGCGCCCAGCTAGTTGAACTTAAATAAAAAATAATATGTAACAGAAAAACAAACTATATGGTATAATACATAACTTTAAGTAAACATTTATTTTCATTTTTGAAAAAAGAAGAAAAGGTCTTTGTGACTGGTAGGTAGATTTATTAGGACACTAAAAATTTCCTAAAAGACAAAAGCATGACAGTCTTGATTAATACTGACTTAAAAAAAAGAAGAAGAAGATATAGCCCAGACCCCTTCAGAAAGTGTGTCTCTGAAACAGAAGCAGATCAGGTGGCTTAAGACTGGACCTAGCTGACTTCAAGACTTATTTTAATAGAGGTAGTATAGTGTTGGCATAGAGACTGACTAATGGAACACAATAGAGAACTAAGAAACAGGTGGTATTCAGTGGGCCAAGAATGAGTATATCCAATAAGTGGTAGTGAGGCAATTGATCCAAATATAAAAATAATAAAAATGTGATCTCGCCTTCACACTACACAAAATTATTTCAATTTTAAGATTTAAAATGAAAAGTAAAACTTTGAAGCTTTTAGAAGAAAGGATTCTTTGGGCCTTCTAGGTAGAGAATGATCAGGCTACAAAAACCACACAACAGAAAGGAAAAGGTAAGTAAATTTAGTCCCATTAAATTAAAATAGCAATAGTGGGGCGCCTGGGTGGCTCAGAGGGTTAAGCCTCTGCCTTCAGCTCAGGTCATCATCTCAGGGTCCTGGGATCGAGCCCTGCGTCAGGTGCTCTGCTCAGCAGGGAGCCTGTTTCTCCCTCACTCTCTGCCTGTCTGCCTGCCTGCTTGTGATTTCTCTCTCTGTGTCAAATAAATAAATAAAATCTTTTTTTAAAAAATTAAAATAGCAACAAAAGATACTGTGACGAAGTGACAGGATAAGCCATAGCCTGCAAGAAATTTACACAGCATGGAGAATCAACAAGAACTTTCTCTCCAGGATTTTGAAAGAGCTCCTTCAAACCAGTAAGAAACAACCAGACAACCTATCACAGAAAAACAGGCAAAGAATACAAACAACAGATTCACACAAGGAGAAATCCAAATGACCAGAAACCATTTGAAAGGACTCTCAACCCATTAACAATGTGGGAAATTTGGGTTAAAAAACAGTAAGCTACCATATCAGACAGGTCAGAATGCAGGGTGGTGGGACGCCTGGGTGGCTCAGTGGGTTAAGCCGCTGCCTTCGGCTCAGGTCATGATCTCAGAGTCCTGGGATCGAGCCCCGCATCGGGCTCTCTGCTCTCTAGGGGAGCCTGCTTCCTCCTCTCTCTGCCTGCCTCTCTGCCTGCTTGTGATCTCTCTGTCAAATAAATAAATAAAATCTTTAAAAAAAAAAAAAAAGAATGCAGGGTGGTAATACTGACTATCGGATGTGAAGACACACATTGTCTGTCTCCTTCTGGAAGGTATATAAACTCATACCATCACTATGGAGACCAATTTAACCATTCCAGGTCAAACATCTCATTACCTAGTTACATACGTCTTCTAGTTAAATCCCTTAGATCAGTGCTTTTCAGACTTGGGTCCTCACCTCCCAGGTCATGAATTTCAACCGTTCTCTTTAATGAGATAGAATATAATATTATTATTAAAATGAGTTCTCCTGTGAAAGGGGCAAATTGTATTTCATGAACCTTCTGTTTTAGACACATGAACATGTGTAATTATGTGTGTACAGGATCTCCATGATTTCTTACTACTTTCATCCTTAGAGTAGAGAAGGATTTAGGATATAAAGAACACATGCCAGAAAGGAAAAGATTAAGGTCTTGGTTTGAAAACTGTTGCCTAAGGTTTTTTTTCCCACAAGTGCACAAGAAAATATGTATAAGAATGTTTATTTTAACATTGTAATAGTGAAAAAATGGAAATCTCACTGTCTACCATAAAAGAATGGGTAAATGAATTGTGTCATGTAAATAGAATACTGTATAAACATTGAAAATCAATGAACTAGAGCTATCGGTATTCATATCAAAAACGGTTTGCAGAAGGATGCATACAGTATGACACCATTTATATAGTAAACTGAAAACTTGCAAAACTTTCCTCTGTTGCTGAGGAATGAAAAACAGTGCATTCAGAATAATACTTTAGGGAGATGGTAAGAGGACAGCTGAAAAGGTGCACAAGAGGCTTCAACTAAATTTGTGATACTTTATGTTAACGTTAATGGGGCGCCTGGGTGGCTTAGTTGTTAAGCATCTGCCTTTGGCTGAGGTCATGATCCTGGGATCAAGCCCCATATCTGCTCCCTGCTCAGCAGGAAGCCTGCTTCTCCCTCTCCCACTCCCCCTGCTTTTGTTCTCTCTCTCACTGTGTCTCTCTGTCAAATAAATAAATAAAACCTTTAAAAAAATAAAAAAAAAAATGAAAACATTAACATTTTATAAGCTGAGTGTTGAGCACAGTATTACAAACACCTGTGTTTGTTTCTCTACATTTGAAATGTTTTATAATAAAAAGTATTTAAGCAAGGTTAGGAAAGAAGATTGATAAATAAAATCCAGAGATCATTCAAAAACCAGTTTCACTATCATGAAATACAGTCGTGGTTTAACTATATTTGAAATCATATGACTGTTGCTTATATCTTTTTCTGGAAAGTGTCTTAAATATATACTTTTCAAAGCCCTTTTCGTCACTAATAACAGACCTATTGTGCCCTTTTGTCCACAGGTTCAGATCTGAAGTTGCTGCCTTGTACCAGCAAGGCTATCATGCCATACTGCCTGCATCTAATGCTGGCTTGCTTTAAGGTAAGCTGGAAACTGATTAGCATGAGCAAAATTTAATTTGGAACACTGTTCTGATGATCTGGAGTGACTTGGTGGCATCGAGAGAGCACAGGGGCTAGCAATGAACAAATAGTAACTGTGGGAGGCATTAGGCACAAATGAGTAGGAGATGATCTCCATCCTAGAGCAGTTTTCAAATGGGCTTGGGACAGTTATCCGAATAACCTGCCTCTAGTGATGGTCAGTAAATAGTTTATGAATTTGTGTATGTCAGAATATATTAGCTAGAAGAAAAATTGCAAATGCCATTGGGTTCATAGAGGGATGGCAAGTTTGTTATCCTAAAGATGTAGCAGGTGGAAGCGTTTCAGGCTTTAGGATGAACACCAGCAGAGCCAGGAAGGTTTCCAGGCTGTTGGAAGAATGCCAGGCCCTTGGCTGCAGGTAGAGCCAAGCCTTAGTGTGCATTTCACCAAGGTGTGTGAGCAAGAGAACAGCAGCATCCGGTCTCTGCTTTAGGGCTGTAATTCCCAGGCTTCACTCATGGTCAGAATCCCTTGGGGCACCAGAAACTATTTAAAGTGTGATTTGGGGCCTAGCTGCTCACTGAGTCCTTGGGCCGGTTCTGCATTTCACTGCCACTTCCTTCCTTGTTGCTCACTGCTTTCTGCTCCCCAGTCCATGTTCTCCCAAACCTTTCTCTCTCCCCAGCCTTCTGGCCCACCCTTTACCCGCCCTGCCCCCTTCAAAGAAATCCCCAGATTCTTGTCTTTGCCACACAGAGCCACTCAGCTTCTGTCGCCCTTTTCCCAAAGCCAGAGAGAGCTTCAGGCCTGCCAGGCACGGCCCGCTCCCATCAGGATGCTCAGTGAACACACTGCTAGTGACCTTGTTCCCAGCAGGGGGACCCAGGCTTCTGGGTTAGGACTCACCGCCCTTCAGAAGCCTTTATGCTTTTGCATGGTGGGTGTGTGTTCTGCTCTGTTCCCTAGATCACATATTTTCACATAGCAGCGTTTTTTTCAGGAAGTGATATTTGGTATATTTACGATCACCCCATGATTTCCTTTCCGTTCCGTGTCTGCACAAATCCTTGTCTTGCAGCTCCGGGCTTTCACGGACAGCAGGGACGACATGGCGCTGGGCCACGTTATCGTCTTGCTTCAGCAAGAGTGGCCGCGGGGAGAGAATCTTTTCTTGAAAGCTGTCAATAAGATTTGCCAACAAGGAAATTTCCAATACGAGAACTTTTTCAACTATGTTACAAGTATCCTTTTTCCTGTGTGAGCATAAGAAATTCTTACTTTTTTTTTTTTTTTTTTAAGAATAAATGCATGTTACAGAAGTGAATGAATCATTCCAGATAGAAATACTGGTTTTCACTCTACTTTGGGGGAAGAAAGAGAGAATGACGAGTAAAAATGGGCCTGTGGCAGTTGGTCTCTCATGAGAGTCCTAAAAGGCTTCACAGAGGTGGTGCACCGAATCAGGAACATGAGTAGCTCAATTCCACTTTCCACCTCCAGCAACTTCTAGGCAGGTACCCAGGATGCCTACATGAAGAGCCTTCCAGTTCCTGAGAGGCCCAGAGTGGCTGGTGAGGCCACAGAATAGAATGTTCATTGGCCTTCTTCTGTCAGCACAGGGCCTCCTGGGGCCTCTCCATGTCACAGGCGTCACAGCAGCCACTGAGAACTCGCCACACGCGCTCCCAGCCCAGCAGCGGCTTTCGGCTGTAGGGAGTGTTGGGTTTCATACTGTTGGTACGGAAAGACCACCTTCGAGTTGTGAGGAACGTGCTGTCTTGTCCAAGTGCCTAGGAAGATACTTAACTGTTTCCGGGGATTCAACACCCCCCACTGCCCCTTTCATTTCTTATAAAGAAAACAAAAGAGTTTTCTGTTAGGTCCATACAGAATCTGTTCAATTAGCATCTGTAGGAGGAACCTACTTATCGTTATGAGGTAGTCTGGTTGGTACAAGAATTGTTCGTTTGGGAATCAGATCACCCTGGGTTCCAGTACTGACTCTGGTTGGCTGGGTGGCTGTGGGCAATTTACTTGGTCACTGCCCACCCGGTCCTCCTCTGAGAGATAGGGCACCTTGTTTCTGAACGTGGTTAACCTGAACCTGCCCTGCAGATATCGATATGCTGGAGGAATTTGCCTACTTAAGAACTCAGGAAGGTGGGAAAATTCATCTGGAATTACTGCCCAATCAAGGGATGCTGATCAAGTAAGCATACTGTCTCGCTCTCCCACACTACATGCTCACCTTTCGTGTGCTTGTAGGAAATATTTGTAAGTTTCTGTAGCTTTGAGAAATCTCAAAAAAAAAAAGGAATCCAAACCTGGTCTCCATTTTTGAGAGAGTAGATTTGATTCTGGGTACCTTTTGCAATTTGGTGTTTCCTTAACTACATTTCTGATAAAACATTGTTTAAACTGGGATATTTCTGTCACTTTGGAAACCTTCCCTCTAAACAAAAGCCTCATTCCTGATATCTTTTCCTTTCCAAAATGTACAGGCTAATCCTATAAATTTCTGGTTAGATAGAGAATGCTTTTAATTAAGAAAGAGCCATGCTTAATTAAAGTTGTAGTAGATTAGGAAAAGCTACAGACTTTATCTAGAAATTGGATTTCAGTATTTATCTGAAGCCTTCCCAAGCAGTTGTCTTTGCTTGCATAGCGCAAGGGAAACTAGCAGAGTCTAGTGTCTCTAAGAAGAAGACACCTGCCCGAGAAATAACGATGGGGTGCCTGGTCTCAGGCATGCCCTCCCACATCTAGATGAAGTTAGTGACCATTTATGATTTTTAAATAGCTCATAAATCTTGCTTCTATCCTTCAGTACTCATTGTAGTTTGGATAATAGATCCTCTGTGCTGTAAATGCCACGTATAGCTTTATTTTCCTACTTCCTCCTTTGTGTCCTGCAGACTCAACATGGCCAGGAGTCCATGTTAGAGTCACTGCAAGAGACTGAGTCCCGAGTGAGAAGGGAGCATCGCTAAGGCTGAAAAGCTTGTCCTTTTTCTCTCAGTTGCAAAATGAATGAGTTTTCAGTTGTTGAGAGCAAAAATCCAATCTTTTTCTATCTTTGTAGAGCCTTAGAAATGTTGAGGGGGAAGCTCAAAATGTGCACTGGGGATATGTACGACCGCAGACATCACTCCTATTGAGAAGAGGGTCTTACGGAATCCATTCAGAAGAATGGGAAGATTAAAGGGGTTTTTGTCCTTCACCTTGTAAATATGATTAATAGATATTTTAAACATCTAAAATAAAAGAACAAATGCTCTTTTTTGAAAACACGAGACCTTTATGCATGAGGTTGCTTAGGCAAGATGCGCTGGACATGCTCATCTTCCCATCTCCATTCCCTTCCCTAAGACTGCAAATAAGAACTAGGGGGGAAATAATTGCATGGTAAAAATATTCTTAACAGTGTTCAAGAACAAAGATGATTTGTTGTTATGGGAGCTTAGGTAGCCCCTTCTGTGGGCTTAAAAATGAAAGATTTCTAGGTTTTGAGGCTGGATATATAAAACATGCCTGATATTAATAGCCTTTTAGTTAATCCACATTAACACTCACAGTACAAATTATCATGCTATAGGAACAGCCTTCGAATCACCTGCATTTACTAAGGGTTAAACGTATAGATGATCTCTCACTTCAGATAGTGCTTAACTGGAAATGTGAATGAATGGACTTTTACCAAATCAGCAGTTGGATCTCGTACTGAACCCTTTCTTCTGTAGCCAGTTTGTATCGAGCTGAACAGTGACATGGTTATGTGCAGACAACCCTTAGGACAAGGAATGAAAGCAGGCGCTCTTGGACACCCAGATAATATCACTGTAAAGAGTCGTTTAGGGCAAGGCAGGGAGACACAGCCTGCATTTCTAGGCTTTGAGAGAGAATTCCAGGCTCCCCCACCTTGGTCAATATAAACTTTAATGCCTTCTAACACCCTGGAGAAGACCACTAAGCCTCTTAGGAATCCTGCTGTTCTGTTTGGAAGCAAGAATAGGGATTGTTACTTAGTGAGCTGACGTTCTAGAAACTTGCCCAGTCTTCACTGTGCGAGTCTCAAAGTTCATTGGAAGCCTGCATTTCAGATTACTTCTGCCTAACCAGCGGGAGAAGCAAGCTGCATAAAGCCAGAGAGCTCTTACTAAGGAGGAAAGGATTAGAATCTTGAGCAAAACTATCTATATTCCTTTCCCTTTGGGTTCCAAACAAATTCTCTGAAACCATTGCAGACCTTTGGGTGGCACCCCCAGCTGAGGGGCAGAGGTGTTGTGAGAAGTGTACAGCACCCCCTCCCTTGGGTAAGATTGTGAGTCTGTCCTGCTCTGCTCGGACGCTAGCGGTATAGTACCAATGCTAAGGGCACCCGGAGCCTGACCAACAGAACAAAGACACTTTGTCCTTAACATATTTTAAAATAGAGAACTAGTTCTTTGCCAATATTTGCAGTATCTTAGTTGTATTAGACTGGGTGAAAATGGAAAAAACCGTGTCCTGTGCACTAAATCTTTGTTTCGAATTCAGCAAGGCCACGGGTCCCAGACATTTTATTCCCTGCATCTGTTCCTTTACTTGATACTTTTTGAAATTAAGGCTCAGCCTTTCTTAGTCAAAAACATGGCCAGGCCCTCTAGTCATCCCAGAAGGGCCTCTTCAGTCTGGGGCTTCAGACCTGGCAAAGATGGTTACCAGAAGCCTCCCAGTCCATCTCTGGGATTGGTGGGGGCTTGAGCAGAGTGGAGAGTGAAGGAGGCTGGATTCAAAAACATGTCTTCTCAAGTGTGACCCCCTCTCCGCACCGCCGTTTCATTGCGTCTCGTCATCCTCTTTCTCGGTGGCTGCTTTTACACCAGACCTCGAGTGGGCTGAGCTCGGGGCCCAGGCACAAGATGCTCTGGACATGCCCCAGCAGCAGGTGCAGGGAGAGGACTGCTAGCTTCTCCCGTCCTCCCGAAAGACACCGCTGTGTCCCGGGGGGGCCGTGGAGGTTCAAGGGTTTCTGCATAGTCTGTTCCAGTCTTGTGCATTTTCTCTGGCGTGTTGTTTTTGCAGTGCAGGGTGAGTCGGTGTGGGTGTTTGAATGCTGCTGTTTGCTGTTTTTTAAAGGCCTTCTAGTCCTCCCATGGGGTTACTGCAGCAGGAATTCTTACCTGTGCTTCAGCCCAGCATACAGACTGCTGACAGGTACCACGTGGAAAAACACTGCTCATAGTGTGCCGTTTGTCAACATGTCGTACTGCCCATGGTTTCCAGCTCTCTGTTCCTCAGTGCTCTTTTTCATGCTTTATTTATTTTTTTAATTTGTTCTGCATTCCTTGGCAAACCACCTGATTGTAATATTGTAACATTTCTTATTTTTTTTCCATAAGTTGCCAATGTTTTTGTGTTCGATTTAAAAATCATTATGGATCTGAAGAGAAAAAAAAACAAAAGTTATATAAAACTGTGTTAAATTAAGCGCACATTAGGTTAAGCGTTAGGCTGTGATACTCTTTTGATAAAATATAAGGCATTCAGTCATAAATATTTAAGGATGCCAAAGCTCATTTTAAGGAAATTTTTATTCGTGGATTTCCGTATTAGTGACCAGTGTCGATGTTCTGGTGTAACCGGGCCTTAGCACAGCATTCACTGATTTTCCAGACCTTCCCTTTCTAAACTGAAAATCCTTGGTATGCTGCATTTATTAGCTGATTTCTCCTGTCCTTAAACCACAAAAGCTGACTAATTCTCTTCTTCAGCCACACTCACCAGGGATAGAGACTGATAGAATGGAGTTGTATTGCTTTATCTGTAGAAACAGTATATCATTGAGCAGGACACAACATTTTATTACATTTTTACTAGCACGAAGGAAAGAGTTTGCTTTGAGCTTTCAAAGCCCTTTAGCTTGTTGTCTGCAAATACCAGTAACTCTTGGTCGTTCAAGGGTTGGCTCCCATCAGGGGTTGCAGTCTGGGACCCAGAAGAACAGTATCTCAGGACAGCCTAAATGGGTCTACGCCCATTCCCAGTGGGCCTCATAGCCTCAGCCTCACTGACACCATGTCCTAATTACGGAATTAACCAGCCAACTTCTCTAGAAACATCCACAAAGAACTGTGTTTTCTCCCTGGCACTGCTGCTGTTGGCATAGTTCTCTCTAATGCCCGTGGGCATTGCAGACTGTCCTATAGTTACCTTTACTAGTCTGGCAGAGCCTAGTTTTGTTTTTCCTCCTGTTGCGTGGCAACTTTTTTACTTCTGTTGTACTTATTTTATACAACAGTACACAAGTTTAAAAAAAAAAAAAAGGAACATTTTAGAGTGGTTTCAACAATTTTGTTTTGGCCAATACATAAAAATTTCATTTGAAATCCCTGTCATTGTGTCTGAGGGAAGTTAGGCAGTCGAGGTGGGGAATGGAGGTGCCTTCTAATGGTCTAAACCTACTGAAGTACTGACCCTGTAGTTAAAACTCCTTTCAACAACCCAGCAAATTTTGCTAGATTTTTCCTTTCTTCAATTTAACATCTTCAGTTTTCTGGGATTTCCTTTGTGAGCTCCTTCTCCACAGCACAGCTTCTGGGTATAGCTAGAACTTTTCTTGTGCTCCCACTGACCCTTCTCCTAAGCACGGGGACCGGCTCTGGGCCCAGCAGGCTTTTGCAGGACGCTGGCTATTCTTCAGTGAGTCTCCTTCTCTCTCCCCACCTCTGCCAGACTCTCGTCTTGGGACCTGCAACTCCTCCAGCTTCTCAAACAGATGTGAGTCTGGATGAGCTTAGCGGAGCTGTCCTGCTCTGGCATCACCGGGAGAGAGACGCACTTGGAAGGAACCCCAGTGGCTGAGCACAAGCCCCAGGCCTTTCTGAGCCTTACTGCAGAGCTCTAGGCCCCAGCTCGGTGTGGTGACGGGCTCGTTCTGGCTTCCCTCCTCCCTGCTGCTGCCTCTGTGCTCACGCTCGGCTGGCTTGTCCAGACATGAACTGTGTGGCCATGTGGACTGGGCCCAGTTGGCCCAAAGTGACAGAACCGTGCACAAGTCAGCACAGGGATGTGTAGTGTGAGAGCTGCAAGAGTTCAGAAGCAAAGCAAGTGGCATTTGACCAGACATTTAGATGCTTAAAATAGCCTTTTATTGAGTGGGAAACACATCTCTCTAGTTTTATGTCTTTCTGAGAAGGAATGGGCAGGGGGATTGTTTGGTTAGGCCTTTCTTCCTTTTTGAATTTTTTTACTTATACTTAGATTTCAGTCAGGTTTTATACCTGCCCCAGAAACACTGACCGGGGATGCCGGCGCTAACTGTGGTGTCCCCTCTGTTTCCCTGTCGCTGCCCTCAGGCACCACACAGTCACTCGGGGCATCACCAAGGGTGTGAAGGAGGACTTCCGCCTGGCCATGGAGCGCCAGGTGTCACGCTGTGGCGAGAACTTGATGGTCGTGCTGCACAGGTTCTGCATCAACGAGAAGATCTTGCTCCTTCAGACTCTAGCCTGACCGGGGAACCCTTTCCGCCAGAGGAAGGGCAGCTCACAGCCATGGGATTTTTTGTGAAGACATAAAGCATTCGTAAATGCTGCCATTACAACTCTTAGAAAGAAGAAAACCTTCTGAGTTCAACTCCTTGGTTGCTTGAAAATAGTTCCCAAGAGTCTGAGAAGCTATCTCTATTTTTCAGAGTCATTTTTTGTAATTTTTGTAAAACAAAAGAACCTGTTTTGTAAATAAAAATCATCCTAAGTTTGGGGCTTTTAAGAATGTATTTCAATTCTTACGAGTTTCTGAATAAGACTTCACTTTATGTAAATGAATATTTTTCATAATCTCAAGGTCTTATTTTCCATAGTTAGGCTTCGGTAGGTATTACGTATCAACATACTTTCACACCTTCCCATGCAGTAAGTTTTAATACCAAAAACCTTCATGCCAGAATGAACTTGAGTGAACTTCAATGAGGGAGCTGTGGGTGGGGGGGTCTGTGGGGGTCTGTGCACCAGCCCAGGGAAGGCGCCTCCTCCCTCCCGCCAAGCCCCAGGTGCCCTGTGGCCTGGCTCCCAGCCCTGGCTCTGCCCAGCATCCTACTGCCCTGTAGGGGAACAGGTTAACTCCTCTGTGCCTCAGGCTCAACCTTGAAACCCAAGAGATGATGGCACTTCCCTCACAGGCTGTGAAGACTGAGTGTTCCCTCACGTGACATCTGTGGAAGGTTGCCTCGTGTGTCCAATTGGGCCAGTGTTAGCTCTCAGGTTTATTTTCTTCTTTTCCTGTCCTGAAATATATCAGATAAACATCAAATACTTGTTTCTAGGGGCTATTTGAGAAAGAGAGGGCCAAGACGTTAGTTACTTTGCATTAAAAGTTTTAGATCTTGGGGTGCCTGGGTGGCTCTGTGGGTTAAAGCCTCTGCCTTCGGCTCAGGTCATGATCCCAGGGTCCTGGGATCGAGCCCCACATCGGGCTCTCTGCTCAGCGGGGAGCCTGCTTCCCTCTCTCTCTCTGCCTGCCTCTCTGCCTGCTTGTGATCTCCATCTGTCAAATAAAAAAACAATAATAAATCTTAAAAAAAATTAAAGTTTTAGATCTACAGCTGAACTTTGAACAGTGTGGGGGGCTTCTGAGGGCACCAGCATGCCCCCCACCACTGCAGAGTTGAAAATTCCAAAAATGTGTTTACTGATAGCCTACCTTTGACTGGAAACCTTACTGATAAACTGTTGATTGGCATGTATTTTGTATATTATATGATTTATATACTGTATTCTTTAAGATAGAAAAGAAAATGTTAAAATCATAAGAAAAATACATTTATAGTACTGTACTGTAAAAAAAATCTATGTATAAATGGACCCATTCTTTTCAAACCTGTATTGTTCAAGGGTCAACTGTATTAAAATCAGTAGTTTAAGTAGTAGACAGCTGATCTCAGGAAATATTCCACCTAGCTCGTTTTAAAATTAGCAATTTAATATGAGTTGATTACAATATATAAACCATTCTGTTACTTTGATCGAGGAGTGTGTTGGCCCCTAACAGCTTTCAAATTAAACACATTTTTGGTTTTATGCCTTTCTCAGATCAGTATTTGGGGGCAGCATACATCAAAACAGGACTTTCTGATACCAAAATGTGTAGGCACCAGATAAAAAAGAACCAATCACTTTTTTTTTTTTTTTTTAATTCAGTAGTGCCACTCCTGTGTGAAGAATTGCAGGGGAAATGCCATAGAGTAAAATCGGAAATCAGACAAAGTTTGCAGACAAGGCAGGGGCAGGGCGGGTCTGTTGATCGCTGGCTCCTGAGGACCCATCCATGCCTTTTGCACTGAAACGTGACCGAACTCCAGCGCAGCTTCTGGCAGCGTCAGGCCGCGTACCCAGGATGACCCTAGACCCCCTTAAAATGCCTGCCTGAGAAAGCTGCACGCTCACAGAATCTATTTGATCCGGCCAAAGCATGGCGATGAGCAGATAGGTCCCTGAACCCCCTCTTAGAGCAGTTATTTTTAGAAAACCGGAAATCATAAATCCTTCCACTGCCCTTTGAGATGGGAAACTACCGCCAGAAAATACTGGAGCAACCCAAGCTGTCTCTGAAGAGTGAATACCCAGAAGAGCCTCGTTCAGGTGGGCACCTTGCTTCAATGTGACCCACCACCTGCCATCATAAAGATGGGGGAGAAGCGCCAACTCACAAATCCAATGGCCTTGTCACACAGACCAAGCCCATCACATCCCTCCCTGCCTTTCCCTTAGCACACCCAGCCTTTTTTAAAAGTCTCCAGCCTTTTTTTTTTCCAGGAAACTGGCTCAGTTCACACCAGACCCAGTGCAGTCAAGTCTGCCCTCATCCCTTCATCAAAATGCCTGTTTCTCTTTGACATGGGGACAGGCATCACCTGGGGTTGGTTAAACTGGCACAAACAGTCTCCTGGGCAAAGCTGTGTCACAGGCAGGATTTGGCTAGATGGAGGTACCAGTCTACAAGCTAAACGACCTATGGAGTATAATATCAGCAGGAAAACTATTCTGTATTGAAGTAAATGCGCATGACTACAAACCATCAAAGACAAGAATGAACTGTCATAAAAGGTGGGAAAAGCAAAGACCTGATTTTTTTTTTTTTTTAAGATTTTATTTATTTGACACAGAAGCAGGCAGAGAGAGAGGAGGAAGCAGGCTTCCCGCTGAGCAGAGAGCCCCATGCGGGTCTCAATCCGAGGACCTGGGGACCACGACCTGAGCCGAAGGCAGAGGCTTTAACCCACTGAGCCACCCAGGCGCCCCAAGACCTCATTTTCTGTCCAGCTCCAGGAGTCCGGACAATTCCACCAGAACCCAAAATGGTAATGGACACTGTGGGAAGCCCCGCGCTCCACACTGCAGGGAGCAAGGCCAGCTGTCTGCTAGGCTAGCACTTGGGATGGAATTCAACAGAGGGAAGCCAGCGAAATAATGGCATGTTTTGTCAGTGGCAGTGTTCTGACATACACAGTTAGATAAGGGGTTTATGAGGGCTGAGGTATGTTATGACATAGGGCAAACTAGGACTTCCATCAACTTTAGATTTGGAGATGCATTTAGCCTAAAAACAAACGAAAACCCACCGTGTTTTGCAATGCCCGACAGATACTGATTACCAAGAGAAAAATGTTGGCTCACTACACGCTGGTGAAAACAGATTACACAGATCTGCAACTGAAGACAAACACTAGCGATGTGTTCTCCCACCTCATTTCAAAGTTCAAACAAAAGAAGTGTTAAAAATCTCAAAAGCTGAAACTATACCAGAAGATGCACTATTAATAGGGTCATGGATCCTACCATGTACTGTTTAGTGTTTTCAAAAGCCTACCCCTAATTTTTTACAATTGATAGAGATCTCTACCCAAAAAGGAGTTCGAAATGTCGAGGAACTTTCTCAAAATTCCATTCGTCTCCCCCATTTATTAGGAAAACAATTACATTAAAAGGACAAATAAAAACTATTATGTTGGAATTTATTTAAGCTGACGCCCTTTAATACATCCTGGATTATTGCACATTTATAAAAGATGCCCTTTATTGGCTAGACTGAAAAGACAAGAAGTGTAAAGGCAACAATTTATTCACTTAATTATGAATAGGTATGACTAATGTAAGTACCAAAAAATGAATAAACAACATTTAATTACTACATCCCTACTCTAGAACAGTGTTTTGCTTTATCACTTTAAGAACTCAACTCCCGGGGCGCGTGGGTGGCTCAGTGGGTTCAAGCCTCTGCCTTCGGCTCAGGTCATGATCCCAGGGTCTTGGGATAGAGCCCCGCATCGCATCATGCTCTCTGCTCAGCGGGGAGCCTGCTTCCTCCTCTCTCTCTCTCTGCCTCTCTGCCTACTTGTGATCTCTCTCTGTCAAATAAATAAAATCTTAAAAAAAAAAAAAAAAGAACTCAACTCCCAACTTCCATGTCGGACACTCTCCCAACTGTGCCTCTCCCAACTGTGCCACTTGGGCACACTCGTTCCCTCCCAAAGCAGGTCATCAATGTAGCCATGCCATGGGCTCGTCAGTCCATGGTCCCTTGTCACTGCTGGTCTCTTAAGTCAGATGGGAGGCTTGTAGCCAGTGAGCCACGAGGGGAGGACTGCTGAGAGGCTTCTGGGGAGGGTTTTTTTGGTTTTTTTTTTAAAGATTTTATTTATTTATTTGACAGACAGAGATCACAAGTAGGCAGAGAGACAGGCAGAGAGAGGGGTGGAGGCAGGCTCCCTGCGAAGCAGAGAGCCCGATGCGGGGCTCGATCCCAGGACCCTGGGATCATGACCTGAGCTGAAGGCATCGGCTTAACCCACTGAGCCACCCAGGCGCCCCTGGGGAGGGTTTTCTAACGATGTCGTGAGATGCACAGAGGGGAAGCCCTCTCCTTTGGGTGAGTGTCGCAGTCAAGTGTCTGTAGCTGTCAGGGTGCGCTGGCCTCACAGGCACGTAAGCTACAGCCAGCCCACCTCGGGCCTTCCTATGTGAGCCAAGCTTTCCTTAAAACCCAGCTGAATCAGGATTCCCTGGTCCCTACGGCTCAATACACCCGATATATTCCTCCCCAATTCAAGAAATGCTTCTGGATAACTCATCTGGAGAGGCCCAACTCAGCCTGACTTGCCAGGACTTGGGATCAATGTGACCGTCCACGATGACTCGCTGCAAGAGAAGCACAGCAGCAGGTTTCCTCACCGACTGTCCCCTTACACATTAGCAAAAGGAACACTTTCATGGGGCACTCCGGGCATAGTAATTTTATCAGCACTTAAATATTAAAAACAAAAACCACCATTGCTTTGCTTTGATAAATGTTTATTTAGCGCCTGCTAAGTACCAGGCACTGTGTGTGCACCATGAGGAATACACAGATGAACAAGACGTAATTCTTGCCCTTAACAAGCTCAGGGACGGATGCGGGAAATGAGACATGTACACAAATAACTACATCATACCAGGCAGAAAGCAATAAATGCCATGAGACTGATCCCAGTAGGTATTATGAGGGAAAAAATATCACCTTCGGATGAGAATACAAGATTAGAGAAGGTGTTTCAGAAGTAGGTGGTCTAGAGAAAATTAAGGGGAAAATTAAAGCAGGAAAACCCGTTAAAGACAGAAGCAGGAAGGGCTAAGAGCTGCGGAGGGAGAAGCCCAGCTGGCTGGCGAACGCGGGGCGGGCGGGGCCCAGGCCTCTTGGGCAGGGCCCGAGCAGGGGGCGGGGCCCGGGCGGATGGGCGGGGCAAGCAACCGGGAGATGCGTCGGGCTCCGCAGAGGGTGGTTCTCTAACCACACACGCCAGACAAAGCGGTTCCAACTTTGAGGGGAGCTTCTGAAGAACGATCTTCCCCCGAACCGAGCTCTGCTGCATAAAGCTTCATGTGGAGGCATCGGATAGTGACTTGACAGAGGAAGAACTGAGGGAGGCCCGGGCCGGAGTGACACGGCGCGCGCAGCGAGAAAGCGGTTGTCGGGTGGAAGACAGGAATGACGAAGTATGGAAAAGCGGGCATGGAGGAGGTAAGGTGAGTGAGAGGTGACGGAGTTTCGCAGCTGGAGACAGAGAAGGAGCCATTCAGGGAGCTGGGAAAATCCCGAGGGAAAGTCTGGATTTGGGGAGAGAAGCGGGAAGACGGGGTGCTGGCGTGCTGGCGGGTGTCCAGGGCGGAGCGACCCGCGGGCAGTGACGAGGGGGCTAAGGGTTTGGGGTGGAGGTCCTCGGCGGAACGCAGGCCAGAGAGTCGTCCTACTGTGGTAACGGCTGGAGCGACGTGGAGGTGGCCCCGCCGCACCGCGGAAGAGCGGGCTCAAGCACAACCTATTCCACCTTTTCCTCCACACGGAATTCTCACAGAAAAGTCGTTAAGCATGATGATGCATCATATGAAAAGTGTTGTTTTCAAAATGTCTCCTGTCTTCACTCCTGAGACACTATTTCTTCAGTTTCGTGATTCCACCCAGGAAAGTGCCTCCACTGTGGAGGGTCGTTCTGAAAAGATTTACTCCAATGAGAGTTTTGTTTTGTTTGTTTAACTTTTCATTATCATTTATTTTGAAGAGTTCTCTGTAATAAAATTATTTCCCTAAGGATTTCAGAAAAGCTACTGATGTATCCCACTTCAGTGAGCCTAAGAGCTGGAAGGAACCAGAGAGGTCATCCCTGCTCCCTCATTTCACAGATGAGGGAACACGCGCCCAGAGAGGCCATGGGACTTGCTGGCATCTCACACGGCAAGGATGGAAGGCTGGCGCTACAAGCACGGGAGTGTGCTTTTCTCTGCCACACTAGAACCCTGGGTGCCAGCCACCATCTAGACACACAGTGAGAAAGACAAGTAGGTAGACAGACAGCCAAATAGTTATGTAAGTATTATAACTATAAGCAAGAGTGGCTGGAATAACACATCTATATTTTAACATCCTTTTCCAAGTAGGGAAAAGGAGAGAATCCCTCCGGACAGAAAGGCATTTTTTGGACCCACCAATGCCTTGCAGATCTGAAAAGGAAATTACTGACTTTCTTAAAATATTAAACTGCTCTTAACCACAAAAAGTATCGGGCCACATCACTACCCATCCCATTCGATAAGACTTCTAGTCAGCCACAAAAGAAATGAAGGTACTCTTGGCTGGCATGTGTGTACCTGGAAAGGCAGTCTACAGGAAAACAAGATAATAAAAATTAGACTTTAGATTGTTTTATCTGTCACAGACACAAAATGCCCACGGCAATTTCCTTTTGAAGAGTTAAATGACAAATCCCTTAAATGAAATTCTAAATTCATCCATTTACATAAAAGATGGAGAAAAACGACAATTATATTCCAAACATATAAGTCTCAAATATAGAGTTCTGATAAACAGCCGCATCATAGTAAACCAGCCAGAGCACATCAGCAGCTTCCCCAATCACTGGGAAATACACATCCTACTGATTCTATAATTCATGGTTCCCTTTAATAAAGGCTGCTTCAACACTCCCACAGGCCCACTAGAGTCTGCTAGCAATGCATTTCAGCTGGAGCTGTCAGATTTTCCAAAAAACCTTCTTTTTATAAAGAATGTAGGCAATGAGCACCCAAACTGCAGTGGCGACTATGTTCTGAGTTAGGTGCTCTTTGTGTGACTGATTATCCTGCAGCTTCCACTGAAAGGGGAAGTAGTTCTCAAACACCTCATGGCCAACGTACACCAGAATAGAGTTCATTCCTAGAGAAGAAATACAGAAAATAATATTTTCCTGAGTCACATCTGATCATCATCTGTTTAATTCTTGAAATTTGACTTTAGTCCAGTGAAAAAAACAAAATGCACACACTTAATAAATAATGCATTTCTTAAATACTTAACTGTAAGCTAAATCAAAAATCAGAAAATATTTATAATGATGTAATTCTTGAATACTAAATCTATAAGGAGAGCCAAAATCATTAACTTATCTTTTCTAGACCGGAAACTTGAGGTCAGAAAAATCTGTCAGTGAGTCACTGAAATGACTGGGTCTAGGGCACCTAGGTGGCTCAGTCGGTTAAGCATCTGACTCTTGGTTTCAGCTCAGGTCATGATCACAAGGTCCTGGAGTCAGGCCCCAACATGGGATCTGCACTCATGGCAGAGACTGGCTGAGATTTTCTCTCTCTCTCTCTCCTTCTGCCACTCTCCACCCTGCATGCATATGTTCTCTCTCTCAAATAAATAAATTAATCTTTAAAAAAAGTGATTGCGTCTCTCAGTCTTCAGGCAGATTTGCATCAAAACCATTGCATTTATCTCTTGATACCATTTATCTCCAGTATCTCTTGATATTTCTTATGCATCATCTATAAGGCAGTACATTTATATTCAGAAAGAAGGCATGGCCTCATTGCTGAAGCGTTAGAAACTGAATTATATCCCCTGGATTGTTTTTGATGCTCTACAACTCAGGACTGCCTGAAGAAACAAGTGGTACTTGGTTGTGACCCCACAATCTAAACAGATAAAATGGGTGGACTCCTTTGGAACAGGCCAGGCATGTCCTGCATGTGGCCCCAGCGGCTTTCTCCCTCGGTCTGCATCTTGGAAACCTGCCACCAGGGGCCATGATCTCAGGTCACAGCACTGGGCATGCTCAGCTGTCTCTGGGCCCGCCCACTAGGTCACCATCATCAACTCCGAATTAGAGGTTTACCTGGGTAGAAGAATGGGGTTCCCGTCCACAGTCCCTTCACATCCACAATGGGGTACAGGATAAGCAGGAGGAAGAAGGCAAAGGAGCTCAGTGTGGTGACATACGAAATGGACCTACAAGATGAATGAGGTGTTTCAGGGCTCCTGAGGAGCACATCCAGCATCAGCAAGATCAACCCAACATTAAATGGCACTGTTTTCTATACCTACCACAGATTTTTGTTTATTGGAATAAAGCCTTCATTTTCAGAAATTTTCGTCAAAGCAACAGAAATAAGCCCCTATAAAAGGGGGAGAAGGATGTTAGTTTTTTAAAATATTATTTCAAAAAACAATTATGCTTCAAAACTGGAAAATATGTTATTTAATTACTTAGGGAGGCCTGAAAATTGTGTCTTACATTTTATTCTTTCAACTGGAAAACTATTTTCAAGATGCATAACTAAAAATATTCTCCAAAACAAAAAAATCTCCAAAGCATTCTCTTGAGTCAAAGGTAAACTAATAAATAAATTAGAGAGGAAATGTGAAGGATAAAATGAACAGCCCAACTTTCAACTCTCCGTCACCGGGAGATCTGGAAGCGGACCTCTGATAGCTATTGCCCTGCTCTTCCTGGTCTGGTTCCCCACCGGAACCCACACAATTTCTTCACAACTCCAGCTGGCCTGTTCGACAGCAAACATTCTTAGTTATAAAGACATTTGCCTAAGTAAATAAAACTGAGAGTTCAGGTATAAAGACGTGTTCCTCTCCGCTGTTCTGGTGAAGAATGTAACCCTATGCTGTGGTGGCAGCTGCTGTCTAGTGCTGCTAAACATTTTCTTTCTTCGAAACATGTATAGATGGGATTTTAGTGAGGAATGCCAGTTACTTACTAGAAAACAACACCAGGCAGTAAATCTGATCAGAATGTCTTTGGTCTGATCCTTGTAATACAAGAGTATTTTTCCTGCCTGGAGAAGAAAACACAGATGACCAAGAGAACTGCTTAAGGTATATTCGTGTTTTGTGTTCATCTACATCCTAATCACTCAACAGACAGACTCATCTGCCAGGTATGCTGCTAGATATGGGGATTACCAAGAGGAATGGAACGTCACCCCTGCCCTTGATGACTGGCCACGGAGGCACGGGGGACTCCTCGGGAAGATGGGAGGAGATGCCAGGGAGGAAGTGCCGTCTGGTTGAGGCTACGAGTGCAAAGCAGGAAGGGCATCTGGGCAGAATGGAACAGCATGCACAGAAACAGGTCAAATGCTGAAAGAGCACGCGTCCCTGAGCTGCAGGTCACTGAGAAAGGCTAGAGGGTTGGGAAGGTGGGGGGAAGGTGGGAGGCAGGTGGGTTTGTGGGTCTCACTGGTGAGGCACAGGCTTTCTCCCATGCATAAGAGGGAGCTGAGGAAAGTCACTTCTCCCCCACCCCAAAAAAAACCAGTAACACGGGGACCAGCTCAGACTGGCTTGCTAGACAGCCCAGTTTGGTGGCAGTAAAGAAGAGGGTGGTACTAGAGGCAGAAACAGAAACAGTACGATCTGGACTTTGCCTGAAATTAGGAATTAATTTCTGAAAAACATCAAAGGATAAGAAAATGTTCGTAATAACTTGTGACTAAAAGTAAAATTTATGAATGTTTTCTATGTGCCAGTTCTTAGAATTTCACAGGAATTACTCAGTCCTCTCCACACAGAGGGATGAACATGCCCAAGGCTACCCAGTTGGAAAGTGGTAGAGCAGGTTCAAGCCCAGACAGTGTGGCCCCAGGCTGCTCTCGCTGGCACAAATTCATCCCTGCAGATCTGCAGATGCAGGAATGAAATGAATATATGTGAAAGCACCCACTGTGAACTGTAGTGTGCTACAGAGGTGAGTATAGAGCAGTATTTCTAAATATGAATCGCCAAAACGTATATGCTTTAGATCCACACTATCCAATATGGCAGCTACTAGCCACATTGGAGACTATTTGAAGTTAAATTTAAATTAATTGAAAAGAAATTTAAAATTTTGTTCCTTGGTCATACCAGCCACATTTCAAGTACTCAAAAGCCACATGGACATGAATATTTTCATCAGAGCCTTCCATCTGCTGCTTTACAGACTTTTCCCTCCCCCGAAATAGCTCTGCTCAAAAAAGAGTTTCAAACACCAATAAGGAGAACTTTAGGGGGGAAAAAATGTAGACTGCTCAGAATTTTTAAAAAATTGCATGTGAGATAAACCAAGAACAACCTGTATTTGACTCTGGTATACAATATGCATAACCTGAAACCATACAGAGTGTGCACAAAAGAAATAAATGTGACAAGAGGGGACACAGGGACTTCCCAACACCACCAGCACCCAAACATTCTGCACCCTCCAACAGGGAGACCTTTTACCCAGAAACTGCTATGCCTCCATTCCTAAGATAAGCCATATAAACAATGAGAATTTGGGGGTGAGGGAATATAGGAATTATACCTAATTATTTCCATGTGCTGAATTTTAGCAACTTCTGATTTTGACAATCTGTCACATATAACAGAATTTATTAGACCATAGAAGGTATGCTTCCAATTACTTGTTTTAATTAAACAGTTTTTGAATTAGTGATGAATAATCATGAACTGTCAGAAAAATGTACACCCTAATGAAATGAACAAATACCTGAATGCCTAAAAATGCCATCACAATGGAGTTGATGGTCCCTAAAATTCCCTCTGGATCGTAGGCCACCTGGGTATGATAAAGCACCTTAACAAAACAGAAAAAGAAGGCAGGACTCAGACCACAAAATGCACACAAACAATTCAGAGATCAAATACAAACTTGAAGACACTCCAGAATTCAATGGTTTTCATTTTTGCTGCAGAAATTCATGGCCAGCTTGTGGGGATTATAGGCAGAATACTTCTGATCAATAAAGTGTGGGGTGTGTGATACCAGAAGGGACCACAGAGCCCAGGGATGAGCCATGACCCAGAGCAGCCACTTCAACTTCAGGGGCCAGTGATTTGATGCATCCCTAACTGGTTCCAACACTGTGTATAATACCTTCGTCACTGTCAGGTTTATTCCCTTTAGTCAACCCTACTATAACATCAAAAAGCTGTTCCTGAGACACCTGGAACTGGCTCAGTTAAGTGGCTGCCTTCAGCTCAGGTCATAATCTGAGGGTCCTGGGATCAAGCCCTATGTCAGGCTTCCTGCTCAGTAGGGAGCCTGCTTCTCCCTCTCCCTCTGCCCCAACCCACCCCACTCCCTTTGTGCTCTCTCTCAAATAAAATCTTTAAAAAAAAAAAAAAGGCTGTTCCTTCCTAACTTCAAATAACATTAAATAATATTAAATAACATTAAATAACATTAAAAAATATATCTGGGGGGGGTGGGGCGCCAGGGTGGTTCAGTCGGTTAAGCATCTGCCTTTGTCTCAGGGTCCTTGGATCGTGACCCACATCCAGCTCCCTGCTCAGCAGAGCCTGCTTCTCCCTCTCCCTCTCCCTGCTGCTCTGCCTACTTGTGCTCTCTTTCTCTCAAGTAAATAAATAAAATCTTTAAAAAAAATTTTTTTTATATATATCTGTACTATTTTATTATAAAACAAGCATCCATGTAGAAACTGCAAAAATTTGGAAACAGTGCGATGGCTGCCACAGTGCATCCCTCAGATATCCCCCTGCCCTTGCCTCTTAGGACTGAAGTATACATTCCCTAAGCTGGTAGAAATATCACTGGTCAAAAGCTCTCAGCCAAGTCCCTTTTCTGGATCTGTCCTTGACCGAAGAGAGCTGCCTCTCCAGGAGCCACACTCCCTTGCTGGGGAAGGTCCACATCCAATGGCCCGATCCCTGACTCCAATTCAGAATCACTCTAAAGCACCAGTCTAGGCCCGCAGGAGATTAGCTAAGGCCTTGTGTGACTACCAGCCAGTCCAACTTCCCCTTCTGCCCGTTCCTGCTTCCTCTGATCCTGAGCAGGGGCTGATTCCAAAAGGATGACCTGTAAGCTTCCTACACACCAATCTGGGCCTCAGAGTCTGCTGCCAGGAAGTCTGAGCTGAGCCACCACATGCCTGATCCACTGCATCTGCACTTTCAAATCCAAAGTTACTGAGATACACAGCCCCATAATAAACACTCCATTTCCTACATCAGTGAACTTTTCAAATAAAAATTAGTTCCCATGATAGTTTGTTAAATGGATAGAGTCTCCAGTAGGCTGGCCCTTTCTGTTTTCCTTCATTTCAGAGCTCCCAAGGGTCTCACTGAAAGTGCAAGGTCAGCTCACTCACGGTGGAAGAAGGATGCTGGTAAATGTGGTCATCTCCCAAAAGCAGGCGGTCAATGTAGCCAGCAGCTCCTCCAGTACAATTTGGATACTTCCCCAAATCTCCAATGCCACCAGGGCCGAGATAACCACTGGGAAAGTGAAAACATGTACTTAATTGACAAGACTTCAGTGGGAATAAGGCTTATTCTGGCAACGGTCACAGCCCAACAAGAAGCCTCAAACACAGAGACACCTTGGCACTCCTCACGGATGTTCTTCTGACTTGACTACTCCCCACAAGCTAAGGCAGACAGCCCAACTTCCCTTCAAACAGACCCCGAAAAAGCCTCATGGAGACAGTCCTCTGGACGTACACCAAACTCCTCTCCCAATACACATGATGGCTCAAAGGAGAAGAGAGAGAGAAAGCAAGTTCCTCTTCCTCCGGAAATCTGCAAGTTCTCACCCCAGAAGCTCTGACTTGGCAGAAAAGGACATGCAAAAAGGGATTACCTACATGGGCTCACTTACGTAGGACATCCAGGAACAGGCAAGAAGAATGTCAAAGCCAGCCAAATGCTTTCCAGCATCAGAATGAAGAGCCACTGGGGCCAGCTGAAGATGATGTCTCGAAGGGAAAAGCAGCTTCTCTCCTGAGTGAGGAGTTATTAAAAAAACAAAAATGAACTACATGTAAGTAGAAGAGGAAAAAATATGCAGTAAACATATTTGGGAAATTCCTGGTGATTCTTCTGTTGGCCTGTATGGTAGTAATACAAAAACAGATGCATGTTTATTTCATATACATTACGTGGTCTACCTGCCCCTCTCCATGAAATATAGTAAAACATTAGTTAAGAAGAAATCACTGGATGGGACACCGGGATGGCTCAGTCAGTTAAGTGCCCAACTCTTGATTTTGGCTCAGGTAAGATCAAGCCCTGCATCCAGCTCTGCGCTTAGCATGGAGTCTGTTTGGGATTTGCTCTCTCCCTCTCCCTCCACCCCTCCCCCACTCATGCTCACTCTCTAAATAAATAAATAAAATCTTAAAAAAAATTAACTGGACAATTCTACTCTTACATCCAAGAGAATTGAAAACAGATGTTCACACAAAAACTTACATACAAATATACATGGAATCTTTATTCATACTTGCCAAAGAATGAAAATAAGTCAAATGCCTATCAACTGATGAATGTATCAAGAAAGTCATACATTCATAAAATGGAGTATTACTCAGCAATAAAAAGGAATAAAGCACCAATACATGGCCCTTGAAAAATATGCTAAGTGAAAGAAACCAAACAGAAAGGCACATGTTATATAATTCCATTTATATGAAATGTCCAAAACAGGTAAATCTACAGAGACAGAAAGTTGAGGAGGGGCTGCCTGGGGCTGGGAGAGTCACGGGGAACAGCAAGTGGCTGGTAGTGAATACAGGGTTTCTTGTGAGGTAAAGAAAACATTCTAGAATTGGGCAGTGGTGATGACTGCACAACTCTGTGAATATACTAAGTATCACTGAATTACACACTTCAAACTTGTGAGTTTTATGGTATGTGAAATATATCTCAATAAAGCTGCCATTTAAAAAGCTATTTTAAAAAACACACTTTAAGAAAGGAAAATGAAATTTAAACTTTTGGAGCTGTCCTGACTGAAGGAAGGAGTACAGCCTACCTATTCCTGGTATCTCACCCAAACCCTTGCTCCATTGTGGGGGTGGCCGATAAGCCTCCACAGACCTTGGGTCCCACATGAATAACCAAGCCCATATTCATGTCTCATCTCACTCCATCTCAAGAAAATCCACAGCAGAGGGTACACAAACAATGACACAGCAGGGAGAGCAGGTAAATGAATAATGATCCAATGCACTCCAAGGATATATGACCAAACAATCATTACAGGAAGAGCCAAGAAAATCAGTTTAGTAATGAATTTGCTAGTTACATATATGGAAATGAGCCAGAAAACAAATACAGCTTTATTAATTTATTAAGAAGGACCCCAAGTGGAAGAATTTAAACACTTCTGGGGCGCCTGGGTGGCTCAGTGGGTTAAAGCCTCTGCCTTTGGCTCAGGTCATGATCCCAGAGTCCTGGGATCAAGCCCCGCATCAGGCTCTCTGCTCAGCAGGGAGCCTGTTTCCTCCTCTCTCTCTGCCTACTTGTGATCTCTGTCAAATAAATAAACCAAAAAAAAAAAGAATTTAAACATTTCTTCCTGAATATTTGTCTCTAGTAGGGAAAAAAAAGCTCCATCTGCAGTAATTTATAGTAAGATAAAAAGCAATCGTGAGGGAGCGCCTGGGTGGCTCAGTGGGTTAAAGCCTCTGCCTTCGGCTCAGGTCATGATCCCAGGGTCCTGGGATCGAGCCCCACATCGGGCTCTCTGCTCAGCAGGGAGCCTGCTTCCTCCTCTCTCTGCCTGTCTCGCTGCCTACCTGTGATCTCTATCTGTCAAATAAATAAATAAAATCTTTTAAAAAAAAAAAATTAAAAAAAAAAAAAAGCAATCGTGAAAGAAGTGAGGCTCTCATACTTCCCACAAAAAAGAAATAGGAAGTAGCCAAGCAGCCAAGGATAATACTGTCATTCTCCTCTACCCTACTTTGGCATTTTTCCTCTAATCTTCACAGCATCCATATAGATACTGAAATGTTTTGTGAGTTTTCTAAATATCCTGTACTACGACAAAATGGAAAAACTGGCAGTAATGCCCCCAGAGACTGAACTAGCGAACTAGCTGATGGTGATATTATTTAATACCATCAAAATGCATTTGATTACTGGGCACTTAAAAATGTATTAAGAGGGTAGATCTCATGGTATGTGGTTTTTTTCCCCACAACAGAGAAAAAAGGATTGATGTAAAGACTAAAGGAAAATAACTAATTGAAGGAAAAAAGAATGCACTTGACTAACAGAGTTAAGGAATCTACTGAGATACACTACTCTGCCCAGAACTAAAGAAGATTCTGAAAATCATACAGTGATTCCCACCATCCCCCTACCACCACCCCATGTTTAAAAGTAGGATTTCTTACCAAGGCACAACTTTCAGGCACAGGTTTAGCAAAGATGAGCTCTAACACAGCAACCACAAAGTAGGTCACCCCCAGCCTCTGGAGCACACCAGGAATTCGTACCTTATCCCAAGACACTGCAGAAGGCACAAATTTGGTGAAGTGTTAGCCAGCATTCCTCCTCCTGCCCTAGACAACATTACTGTTCTCTAGGGGGGAAAGCATACCTCTATTGCACTTAAGTTGTTGTCTAGGCCCTTGGAGATAGGAATACATAGGGGACTTGGCTCAAACTCATAGTAGGAAGTGGCCAGCTGGGACACAGGGATAAGAACACGTGTTCCGGTGCCTGGGTGGCTGAGTTGGTTGGACGACTGCCTTCGGCTCAGGTCATGATCCCAGAGTCCCTGGATCGAGTCCCACATCGGGCTCCCAGCTCCATGGGGAGTCTGCTTCTCCCTCTGACCTTCTCCCCTCTTAGGCTCTCTCTCACTCTCTCTCTCAAATAAATAAATAAAAACTTTAAAAAAGGGGGGGGGGGCGCCTGGGTGGCTCAGTGGGTTAAAGCCTCTGCCTTCGGCTTGGGTCATGATCCCGGGGTCCTGGGATCGAGCCCCACATCAGGCTCTCTGCTTAGCGGGGAGCCTGCTTCCTCCTCTCTCTCTGCCTGCCTCTCTGCCTACTTGTGATCTCTGTCTGTCAAATAAATAAATAAAAATCTTTAAAAAAAAAAAAAAAAGAACACATGTTCCTTCAGTATGAGATAAAGCAAGGACTACCTGGGCCCTGAAGTTCCTCTCCTGGCCCTTTGTCATTCTGGGTATGGATTCAATCGACTCTCACATCCACCAGCAACTTGCAGAGCCAGCACAGGCCACCAACAGACTCTCCCTGTCTTACAGGCTACATGGCTACATCACTGGAAGAGTGGGACCATGTAATGAATCCTACAATATATTCTCCTGGGAGCAGTGGCTCATTTTTTTGAGATGCATCGAATCAACTATTCAATGATACCTTCCCTTCTGACCCCAACTGGAAGCGACCTCTATCTCCCCCTAATGGCTACTCTTAGTGCTTCTTGTCCATAGGGACGATCTGGCTACTGTCCAGATAACTGTGTCCTGTTTTGCTAATGCCATTGTATGACCCTTGAGTACAGCTAACTACTGCCTTTCCTGACCCTGATGCAGGTCCCAAGCACGGGGTATGCGTCCTTCCCTCGGCCTTCCCATCTCACTCACTGCTAAAGCAATAACAAAGATATTCCTTCCCAGCAACCTAGCGGACATACATGTGATGACAAAGGTGGATTCTTGAACTACCATACAATCTCCTTATGGAAGTTGATGAATCCAAAGTGGCAGGAAGGCAGGGTCCAGAACGAGGTAACCTGATCTGGCCCTACTACTCTGTTCCTGCCTCAAAAGACCCACAGAAAGCACTTCAATCTCTCTAGGACTCAGAGTCTTCCTCTGTACAGCAGAAGGGTCTGATTGGTCTTAGAAGCTCTTCCCAGGTCTGAAGTCCAAAGACAGTAACAATAATGCCCGAAGTTATACAAGCAGGTATACACTTTTCCAACAACTGTTCTTCTTGCAGGTATCTGAGATGGAGGAGTTATATTTCTTTTAAATTATGACATGTAGCTTCCATATTGCAACCACAATATATGCTAACAAGAGGTGAAAAAAATACTTACATGGACCAAGGCAATAATTGGGGTTCACAATGACCACTCCTATACAGATTAACAGGAAACTCCTCCATGCAATTTTCCCTAGCAATCTGAATTTTGAACATCCTCGTTGCAGTATGGAAGTCATTGATAGAAAAACTGAAGATCCCATAATAAATACAAACCTAGAAAAAAAGACAGCTATTAAGAGGTGATCATTTCTAGGATGGCTTTTTTTTTTGTCTATATATCATTAATATTTTATAATCTACTACATAAAAGCAGTGATACATTATTTTTCTAAAGTAGCCAATTATGAAAGTAACACTGGAGAAAGAATCAGAACAAAACCATGTTGGACTATAAGGTTTGTGCACCATCAAGTCATATCCTAGAAGGAAAATTCTTCAGGGCTGAGTACAATTTCCAAGGACAAGTTTCCCATTTATTATTAAAGAGAAACAATAAGAAACTCTTAATCTCACAAAACAAACTGAGGGTTGCGGGGTTGGGGGGTAGGGAGAGGGTGGCTGGGTTATGGACATTGGGGAGAGTATGTGCTATGGTGAGTGCTGTGAAGTGTATAAACCCGGCGATTCACAGACCTGTATGCCTGGGGCTAATAATACATTATATGTTAATAAAAAATTTTTTTTAATTAAATTAAATTTAAAAAAGAGAGAGAAACAATGATGAAGATGCTAGAATCGAAACAACTAGACATTCACCACACCCTCAAAGTCCCTGAGAAACAAACAACACACATCAATCATTTCTAAATTCACTCTTTCTCCTGAAAGAAAAATGAAAGCTCTTTCTTTTCCTAATTTTGTCTGAGCCACATACCTCTTTTCTTCCCTTCTACTAAATTAACTCTTTGAAAAAAGAAGTTGGAATAGCAATCTTTCCAATGATTGAGTGTGAGGTCTAACAGAGGTGAGAATTTGCCCTTGCCACATTTCTTGATATCCCCTGGCTTCCCTTCTTGGGGTCACCTAATTGGATAAAAAGTGTCTATTGGGGCGCCTGGGTGGCTCAGTGCGTTAAGCCGCTGCCTTCGGCTCGGGTCATGATCTCAGGGTCCTGGGATCGAGTCCCGCATCGGGCTC